CAATAACTAATTGCATTAAAACAAAAACGAATGAGATTATAAAATTATGGTTTGGTTAACAAGATGTTACTAATATCTATATGTCACATATTAATTTTATACTATCTGAACAATACAATGATTTGGAATTTGTGGCCAAATTTAATTAAAATTTGCCTTTACATGTATTGTACTGATGATGAGATAAACCTAAGTCTCAAAACGTTTGTAAATTTATTAGAATTTAATGAATAGTGCATATTTTTAAAGATAATATGAAATTATATAGGAAATATAGGTTTTATTTATTCAAGTTGTTATATAGTTACATTTACATGTCTATAGTCTAAGAATCGAGTTTGAGTTTAACTCAGCTCACGAAGCTGCCCTAGCGCAGTAATACCCATTATTATTATGTCAATAGTATTAAAACCCAAGTAAAATTCAATATGTACAAATTGCGTTATTCAAAAGATACGTTACTGAATATTGAAAGGGATATTTCTAGATTCCAGTTTTAGTTTCAAGTGAATAATACATTGCTTTCCTGGCAAGCCCAGCGATGGTCTCCATTCATACATAACTTGACGCGCCTGCCACCTCAATTATAGCGGTTCCGAACATGTGCTCGTTTTTGGTATATCGAAGTTATTTTTCGTTTATTGCCCAGAATATTCTCTTAAATAATGGAAGCTGATTATTTATTTAATCGCCATATTATGGCAATCAGTGAATTTTTAATCATAATTAAAGATTTCATGGTTTAACTTTATAACATGGTTACGATATTCATAAAAGAAACTCTACATACGGTTATAGGCAAGATGTATAAAATTAGTGAGGTTGATTATTAGACCAGTGCATGCAATTTCAAACATAAGAACTCATCTACAAACGGGTAGATATAAGTAATCCTCGATTTTATTTATTTCTTATACTAAATTCAACCCTTAAAATCTTATTTTAACATCTTTCGTTATATTCAATAACAAGTGTTGCATGGCATCGTGCCTCAAAGCAAATTCCTGAAACTTCCCGTACCAAAAATTTAAATTTTTAACAAAGCTTTAACTTTTTTTAAACTTTGAGAAAACTAGATTTTTGGGAGTATAAAATTTCGGAAAATAATTGACTTTTTTAATTTTTTTTATATATTTTGAATTTTTTTGAAACGTTTTTCAAAGCGTGTAGCAGTTTATCAAATAAACATTGCTACGGAACCCATAGAAATATAAACAAAATTTGTACTTATTATTAAAATCTCTATAAAATATTTGATAATTTGATGTACATATGTCTAATGATCGTTATTGACCGCCAAATAGCATTTTTTGTTACTTTTTTACAGAATCTCCGAAACCGTTAAACCTGCCTTCCCAAAAGTTTAATCAGTTCTTCATTTTGTCAATATAAATAAAATGTTTTTAGAATTATTTGACGCTCCGTTCTCTCAAAAACTAAATCACCATTTTTGGCACTTTTTGCCTAATATCTTCGAAACAGCTGGACTTGCCTCTGTTAAAAACTAATCAGCACGTCTCCTTATCAGTAAGAATCGAATGTTATTTGAATTAATCAAATCGATCGTTGATCAGTGTTCTCGAATCCGTCGCCAAAAAATTGTATCCGTATATACATACACAACATCCACTTTTTCTAAGGCATGCCAAAATGTTCAGAAACCTTTGAAACGTAGCGATATATAAAATTTTTATTTTAGTTTTTTTAAGATTACTATAAGTTACCTTACATGAAGTTAAAAATAGCACGTTATTGTCGACGAATTCTATATTGCAAATAGTTTTAAAATTTATTTTAATTGTAAATAAACGTGATGGGTTTATTTCCATAAAAAAATCCTTACTCATGTAAAGATTTCAACGATTTATATTCGTGTCATTCGCTTATGCATAGTTGAGAATATTATGTGGAAAAATTACTATAATATTTGTAATGCATAATTAAATATAATATATTTAATTTTAATTAACCTTTTATAAAGAAGGCAATTTTTATGATACAATTAAAAATAAAGTATATATAAAGTAAATAAATTATAATAATAATTTACAAAAAGTAACATTCAAAATATCCTGTATGCTCACGAAACTTCTTAAATTTGCTTTCGTAAAATGCTTTTAAGAATACTTTTATAAATAAGCTTATAATTTAATTTGAATATTTTATGATATTTATTTTTTTATAATATATTTTTTAGGTTTTTTATGGCCTACATAAAAGTTATGACTTCGTTAATTTTAGAAAAAAATATTTATCTTTTAGCGTTTATTATTTTTTATTACTCGTAACATACCTGATTCAATACATATATGACAATACCAACATACATACATGTATATATATATATATATATATATATATATATATATATATACTCTTCAATACAAGATTCACAACCTATATTTTGTATATATACAACTACAATATATGTACAACAATATATGTTCTTAATTTCAAATGCTTAAATTATGAATACATTACTGCAATTGTTGGTAGCAATAATAAACCAATGCTTTTCTATATTTTCCAGTACCCATATTCGAACATATTTTTTATTATTATAAACAACTAATAGTATTACTAATTAACAATCGATATAAATATAATATTATGATATTATAATCAATTGGTTTATGAAGGGTGTTGTGTTAATTAATAATTTACCCGTGATAAAACATTTTAAATACCGTTTATTTATATATGAAACAATTTGATCAATTATATACTAAAATTAGTGGTCAATATTGGTTATGCACTAATAAAACACAAACTGTAAAACATTAAACTGTTAATTGTGTAACTGAAAAGTTATTTAGGAAGTATAGATTTATTACCAATTTATGAACTGACTAATAAATACAAAAATAACATTAAATATTCGGATATAAAAATAATAATTTCGTGTAGAATCCATACGCTGTAAGATATGCTTAATAATATGCTTCTTAATAGATTTGAGTGACAAACCAATGACGACAAGTAAAAAGTAGAAATCTTGTGTAACACCTATTTTATTTGATCTACAAATTCTAGTATTTGAAGAGAAAAGATAATATAATATGTATAGGTTTTTATATATTTCACTATGGATGAACGGAGTTAAAATTAATAAAAATTCTTTAAACATATATGTTTCATTTTTTTGTGTTAGTAGGGCTTGCATGACCAGATACAGGTGTTACTCCACGTTACGATCTTGAACCATCATTTTTGAAATTTTTTTCATGTATATGATCCACTTTGTACCCTTCGTGATGTGAACTGATTTTATTTTATGAACTTAGAGAACTTACAAGAACAAAAAGTAATTAATAGCAAAGCAAATAATTATCAATGAAAAAATAGGTATATTCTTTTATGATTAAGCTATATCTTTTCAGTCAAAATGCTGTGTATTTTTGTTGAGGCCTTATTCATACTTTAAATATTAACTTCCCGTAGGGTAAGTTATAGTAAACTTCCAAAAATGGAAAATAATTTTTTTTATATATCTTCACGTTTGCAAGATTTCTGAACTTTTTGGCCTATCTTAGAAAAATATATGTGCGTGTAGGTTTTGTGTGAATCAACCGATTTGGAATATTCGAAAACATCGATTTCGAACTGATGGAAAGAGATGCTGATTAGTTTTTGACAAAGACAGATCCAGTCGAGCAAAGAGCGCAGAGAATAGAAATCGATGTTTTGAGAGCGCGGAGTATCCGATTTGAATGATTCAAAAATATTTAATTCGTAATGATGCAGACAAGTGGTGATTAGTTTTTGGTAAAGTCAGATCCAGACGTTTTGAAGATAAGAAGCTAAATGCGCAAAAAATGGTAAATTTTGAGAGAACAAGGCATCCGATTTCAATGATTCAAAAAACTTTTGCTTGTGTTGACGAAACTATTGTTTTTGGGAAGAGCATAAAATTTTTTTTTTATTTAAAGTTTTTTTTTTGAATATCGAAAATAATTTAGAGTTCAGTTTTAATTCTAGCTAAAATTCTAGAGCTCACTTAACTTGAAAAAAATAATTTTAACTTTGCAATTAAAATGCGAGACAAGATCCTTCATTCTAACTCCCCTTCATTGGGTTCTGTTCGTTTACTTTTTATGTAAACTTATATAAATGTTCTTTTTCAACCTATAAGCTCGAATATTTTTTCTATACTTTATGAATAATGAAGGTTTCAATGCTTATAACAATATATTCGAAAACATTTAATATTCTTTGAATATTTCGGGAGATTCCAGCAATTTGCCTTAAGGTACGATGCCATGCACTACTAGTTTTTATTATGCTATATTATAATTAAGAAAATCCAATACAGGTGGTAAAAAATATCTAAAATATCTAAAAATTTTTCAACTAGGTATATGCAGTATAATGCAATAGATTCAAATTGCATTCCAATCCAAGAAAATATATTATTTAGTAATAATGAAACAATTAATTTTAACAGGAGCAATTTAAATCTAGAACTAATGTAATTTCTGTTTCAAAGAAGCGATTTAAATCGAGTACTGTGATAAATAAATCCATTCAACCATATTAGTTACGCAGTAATTGATTTATAAATGCTTCGTAATTAATTAGGTTAAGACAAATAATCTAAATTTTTGATAAATTTTGAATAATTTAACTAAAATGAAATTGAGATTTAATCGAAATGAAATTGAGATTTTAAAATTTCATCAATAATTAATGTGTAGTGTTTCGGTAAAATTTCCTTGAAATGTAAAGAATTACCTTTAAAGGGTTACGCATTTTAAACTAAACGAAAGCATCGTGCAGCAAAAACGGATATAAAACGAATGAAAAAATATTTGAAACAATACACATACGCCGCTTTTTAGGTGGGGATTATTCACCTCCCGATCATTCGTTTCGTATATAAAGCAAGACGGAGAAATTTGCCATCACAAATTCGAGACGCTCCGACGTCACAGCTCCATATTAAGGAATAGTTTTAATAATCGTCGCCGTTACCAATCCTTCGTTCCTATAAGTCGTCCACGATGCATTTGAGGAGTTTTATCATCGCCGCGGTGGTCACGGTGGCGTGCGTGTCGGCTCGTAGCGCACCCAACGCCCAGAACGCCATACCAGACGAGCGCAGGAGCCAGGACCTCGGCCTGCAGATGACCGACCTTCGTTTCGTCTACAGGACGTACCAGGAGTGCGCCTCCACGGACATGTCTGCATGTCTCAAGCTTAAGCTAATTACTGCACTGGATCGTGCTGCTCGCAACGTAGCCGACATATCTCTATACGATGGAGTCACATTTGTCAAAAATCCAACGGCTGAAGTTGCTGCTTCCGTTCCTGCAACAGAAAACGAACTCAAAGCAACCTTGCCCCGCACCATGGAGGACAGGGATAACATGCTAAACGAACTTATCTTAGAAAAAGTTTTCAACTTCTTCAAGAGCCACACATTGCAGGTATTATAAAACTTATTACTGTTGATAAATGTTATTATTTATTGTATTATATACACTTATCAGTTTAAATCTTCGCTGCAACCGCAGACGACAAAAAAATAGTATCAAGCCGTTCGATCACAGTTTTGTTCTTTAGCTGTGGTTAATCTTTTTTTGGTAAAACGTGTAGTGAAATTAATCTATTTCAAAGGATTCCAATTATTTAATTAATACCTTATTCATTTACTTATATAGCATATTCTCAAAATTCTCGAGATTTTTTTCAACCAATTTGCCGAAATAACTAAAAAATAAATAATTTTAATATTTTAATTTATTAATACGTGTAGTGAAATTAATCTATTACATGGGATTTGAATTATTTAATTAATACCTCATTCATTTACTTATATATTTATATAAATATATATATATATATATATATATATATATATATATATATATATAGCATATTCTCAAGATCCTTTTCAACCAATTTTCCGAAATAACAAAAATAAATAATTTTAATATTTATTTATTTTTTTGTATTTTTTGTATCGTTCATTTTGTCAGGAAGGTTAAAAATCTCAAGAATATTATATATATTTATATATATATATATATATATATATATATATATATATATATATATATATGTCTATCATCTATATCTCTATCATCTATATATAGATGATAAGGTCTTGGATTTGTAAATATTTTGTAGAGCTTTGAGCAAAGTATCCAGAAGTGATAAAAACCCAAAAGTTTTTTAAGAGCTTTGAACGAATAATCCAAAAGTAATAAAAAACTAAAATATTTTTTTTAAAACACATTTTTATTTACTGTCGACGTTTCGGAACTGACTAAACGTCAACAGTAAAAACTTTAAGAAACTTTTTTAGTTTTTTATTAATTTTGGATTATTTATTCAAAGCTCTATATATATATATATATATATATATATATATATATATATATATATATATATATATATATTTATGTGTGTTCATTTGAATCATATCTGAGCCGGTTGCTGGTAGTTTTTGATGTTACATGGGTTATTGATTGTAAATATAAATATATGTATATATATATATAATATTTATATACATATATATATATATATAATATAATATATATAAATATATATATATATATATATATATATATAAATATATATATTTTCAAATATATAGCCATATGTTATATTTTCAAACAAATATTAGTATTTTTCGAAGAACTAACGGACGGAAGGCAAGAACGGTGCGCAACTTACATGATTTTTACTTCAGGCGTTAGATATAACATTTCATTTATCTTTAATTTTTTAATTTTGAAATTAGTTCTATCATAATTTTCAAAGTTTCTTGTAGACCGAAGCGAGCTTTCAATTTCCATGTGCATTCTATCGTATATTTCTTAATATACTTATGATTTTACATAAAATTTCACGTGATTATTCAGTTGTCACAGCAAGTAATTAAAATATACCCCTTAAAGCATTACTAGGTAAATTTTGTATTGTCAATTCATGATTACAAGTAATAAATTGCATCCGTTGCAATCATCGTGCCATCGAAGCGCAGCTCCAGATTGTTAAAAGTCTGCAAAAAAGTATGAATACGAAATTAAATGGTTAATGATTTATGCGTTT